CATTTTCAAGTGTCAAAATTCAATNTTGATTAAACTGAACCTCAACTACATTAACCTCGTATTCACTCATTTTGGGGTAAGAAAATATCGATCAAACACTTTAATTATTGTTAAATATAGTTAAATTAGTTATATTTAGTTTTAAGAGTTTAGGTTGGTAAGAGAAAAGAAGTTAGGTTAGAGCCAGTGTTGCCAAACGTACGATAATTATCGTACACGTACAGGTGGGCCAAATTGGGCACTTTTAACCCTCCAATGGTGACGCGCGGTCTTTTGGGCCGACAGACACTCTCGGTCTGCATGTCACTAGTAGAGCTATAACACACATGATTTCGGGACTCAATTCTGATAATTGTTTATGAAAGTAGTCCCAAAAAAAAGAACTTCTGCATCATTCGTATGGTCATGGTACATCAAAAAGTAATTTAAAAATTAATTTGAAGTTAGTAAGTATCGTATAGGGGAATTTGTCACGTTTTAGGCTCTTTTGTTTGTCATAACTGTAGAACCACTAGTACGAATAAGCTGAAACAAATTTAAAAAAATTAAGAATTACAATTCCTTTAATCTGTTCATACAACGTTTCGCTACATAAGCAACAGTTTCGCAGTTATAAATAAATGTATGAAGAAAAAAACTATTTTTTGCCTAAAAAATTTAAATTTTTTATTTTTAATTCATAAAAAATCCAAAACGGTAGAAATTTTTATATGTTATCTATGCATGGAAACAAAATTTAGAACATTTTCAATTAGTGTGGTTCTCGCTTGTGGTTCTGATGACCTTATTTTCTTAGTAGGTTGTTCATATTCATGTTCTGAGTCTGCATCATCATCCGAGTTACACATAATATTCAAGGGCATGTTTTGTTCAGTGTGTCCACAAATTTCAGTGTCATCTTCATCTTCGGTGCGTTCATCTTCAAACTGCACAATTGTAGAACTCCACCAACAAACCTCCGCAAGCAATGCATCCAATTTTTTGTCTTTGAATCGCTTTTCCATTGGCATGGTCACCTGGTGGAACCTCTCCCTTTGTTCGTCCGATTCCTGAGGTAATTGTGCCAAAAAGATATCAAGGTGGAAATGCCGGAAATGTAATTTTAACGTCATGGATGCATTGATTTTTTCAAAATAATACAGCAAGTTGTCCACTCGTGTCTGTATGTCATCTTGCTGTACACGGTTCTTTCCTAAAACGCCTTCGATGACTTGTTTCAATGCGTCCCATGCACATAGGTGGTTATAATGGTTCGAAAGCATATTTGTGATTCACTTTTCATTAATTTTCGTATATCCGGTTTCGGCTTGCAGGGACACAGTATACAGACTGGGAGGTTTAGGTGTATCGGTATCAGCAGCGCGTTTAACTGGAAGTGTGGCAGTAAAAGCAGCAAGGTATACTTTTGTTTTCAATTGTTTTCTGTTTAATCCATGACGAGAATTTATGCATGCGTAGCACCTGGATTCGTCATGTCCAGTTAGGTCTTCCACCAAAATTACTGGCTTCATAAAAGAAAACTGTCCACCTTTTCCATGTATCCACATTATAAGGGTATTATAACAATTTTTGCACACTGTGTTCGGCGTAAAATTTGCACCACTTAAATCTGTTTCATCAAAATAATGACAATACGCTGTTTTGAATTCCTCAGAAAACAAATTTTTTTCGATCCAGTTGCCTTTTTTTTGGGACGATATGACCACAAACGTAACAAAAATTATCCAATTTTGGACACTTCTTATTTTCCATATTGAAATATATTATGTTTTGTTGTTATTCACTTTTAAAAACTGGAGAAAAATTAAATTAAATTAAATTAAAAATATACGATACTTACTAGCTTCAAATTAATTTTTAAATTATTATTTGATGTACCATGACCATACGAATGATGCAGAAGTTCTTCTTTTTGGGGCTACTTTCATAAACAATTATCAGAATTGAGTCCCGAATCAATCACCTNAGTCAATGTCATTTCCGGTTGTTCTGTGACGTAACAGTTATCGTTATCTGGCATGTTTCGTCTTAAGAAACCAATAATTTTCTTTAATAAACAAACATAAACGTCTTAAATGGTAAAAAAAGGAGGAATTTTGATTTGTTCTCAAAATAACTCATAAAACTCATGGTACTTGAGAAAGCTGGCAAAATCGGAAAATCAATACAAAAGCACCAATAATTTAACACCAATATATTATAGAATTAACTACAAATAATAAACAAAACTTATAAAAAACAAATAACAATAAGAATTACTAATTAATGAGTGAAATTAGATTAGTATTTAGCAATAAATTTTTTAACAGAAGATACATTTAGATAACGATCAAAGAGAAATTTTTTTTCTTTCCGTAACATTTCAATTAACGTATCCAAAAAATAACGAAACTTATTAATACTTTTATTTTGAGAGTTCATATTTAAACAAACCATTTGAACGAAATTCGGGGTGACACAAGATAAAGCAAGATAATTATATTTCTTCAAGAAAAGTGTTAAAACAACACAATATATCCCATCATCTTCCACGGAAATTTCTTGCACGTACAAAAACTGGGCCAAAACGTCCGTTTCGGGTAATTTTAATATTTTATTATTTTCAATGGGATTTTTTAACAAATTTTCCAATAACGTTAAACCCCTTTTCTTGCGGGTTATTGAACCTTTTAAGACTCTTCGAAAATCCATTTCAATCGAAAATTCCGCTTTTAAACCTAACAAATCCTAATTTTTTTTGTATTATTTTTTTATCTTATTTTATATTAGATTTTACCTCCAATTTTGTTAATAAAGCCAACGTTTCACTCCCAGAAATAGAAATTTCATTATTTTTACTTAAACTAGCTTTTATTAAAACCGAAATCGTCTCGAATTTGATAAAATGCTCAACGGCTTCTTTATTATTTTTCATGTGTACCATCAAATGCATACTGTACTTGCAAACTTCGATAAAAGCCTCTGTGTTGTAGATGTACGGTAAAATTGTTCCCATTACTTTGCAAAAAAACGTTGCTAATTTTAGATTTTCAGGAATGGAAGGTTTTGATTTTAATAAAAGTGCTAAAGATTTAGGATTTTTAATCGCGCTTGGAATATAAGATACTATTGAGTTGGAAACCTCGTAATCGTTCATTAATCGCAACAATAAAGCAGCTCGATTCGAAACTATTTCATTTTCAAAATCAGTCATAATGACTTGAATTAAAAATTTAACATTTTCAGTTTCTTGGAGGATTCGAATAAAATCTGTGGTTTCCACCGATTTTTTTAACCAAAAGCAAATCGTGAGATAAATTAATGGGGGTCGATCGCTGTTTAAAATCCACGTTAATTGTGTTAAATTTATTGTAAGTATTTTTTCTACGTCGCACCCACACAACGCATTTATAATCACATTTCCATTTGATATTGAATTCTTTATGTACTTAGGAAACAAGTAACATATCGCTTTTAACGTAATCGGATGAAACTTATCCGAAGAATAACATCTTATCGTTATTTCTTTACTTAAATTACCAATTTCTCTTCGATCGATACTTTTCTTAGTAAATGCATCCAACAAATACATCGAAACGAGCGAAAAATCTTTGAGATCTTCAAAAAAATTATCATCAATTGGTGGTAAAACATCCATTAAAAATAAATCTTGAAACATTTTTTTAATAATATCAATAACGTTATCCTTAAACGTTTCGATCGATAAAAAAGATTTCAATATGTTTATGTATTTCACGTAAACTTGAGTTATTTCATAATCATTGGAATCTTTTATGGTGTAAATGCCCAATAAGCACTTAATAAACTCGTTAATTATAAGCCTATCGTAAAGTATTTGCAAAAATGGAACGTTGTAAGAACAAGGTTTTAATATCCACAATCGAAATTGTTTAAAACTGCTCCACTCCTTGAAATTAATTATATTCCTTAATAAAAGCGAACCCAATCGGCACAATTCTAAAAATTCAACTCCAACGCGATGTTGATACGCTTCTTTTATGCAATTATCGTAAATCTCTTTCGATTCCAGCGGAAAACATGAAAATATTTCGATTAAAATGTTTAAACAATACTTTCTTAACGTTGCTTCTTTAAACGTTTCGTGAATCTGATGGCAAATTCTCTCCGGGTTAACGTTTAATCTTAAAATTTCGTTATTTTCTCGTAATTTTATCAATAAATGTATGCAGAAATCGAAAAGATTACATAAAATTGGCTTTAATTGCCCAACAAAACGCTTCCAATTTTCTAACACGAACTCGAAACAATGTTCCATCGATTTTTGTGATGTTAAGAATTTATTTGATGATAAGAATTTTGATAAAATTATTATAACTTTGCTAAAATATAAAAAAATTAAAATTAATACATCATATAGCGCCATCTAGTGAATTTTTCTTAAATCAAAAATTAAATAAGTAAAAAAATAATATTAATAATATAATAATAATATTAAATTAAATGGTTAATAATTAAAAGTAAAATTAAAAAAATAAAATAACTAACCTAATTTTTTCTTCTGAATTTATATCTCGGAGACGATCAAAAGGAAAGAAATTTATTACTTTTCCAATGTGCGGCCCTTCGTTATACTTATCTAAAAATTTTGATACACTTTCCAACACCATTTCATTTTCAATATCAATAATTTGCGAATTCATTTTTAATTGTTGCAAGAATCTTCAACAATAAATTATTGACGTAACAATTAAAATTTTTCAATTGTTCGCAAACTGACGCCAAATTAAAACAACTTAATATTAATTTATCCTAACGAATTTTTAATCTAAATTAAAAACAATTTCTTTCTAAATTATTTTATTTATTAATTTATTTTATCATAAATTTTAATTAATTTTATTAAAATATTAAATAAAATTAAATTTAAAATCACCATTTTACATTAGTCCTAATGAACAATTAATTCAATCTGTCAAAAATAATTTAAATAATTTTTATCAAAATCACATTTAAAATTATTAAATAAGTTTCAAAAAAAATTAAATCATAAATCTTTATTTAATAACATCACACACAATAATAAATACACATTAAATTTTAATTCAAAATTCAATATTTGCATCATCATCCTTTATAATAGGATTTTCATTCAAAATAGCTGTAATCATACTGTATAAATATGTAAAAAACAATACTAAATAATAACCCAAATTGATCATGCAATCTCTCATATATCTTTTAATTCTTCCATGAAAATAGATTTCCGTTGGTTCATAAACACCAATGTTACCTTTGGGGACTTTCATTATTTCGTAAATCATGTGCGCCGTTAAAGGCATATTAAAAATGACTAGAATCCAATGACCAGTGATGAGAAGGAGGAAAACCATTCCCGAATGAAAACACAATTTTGGTGTGACCCAAAAGTTTAATTTTGAACAACATTGTTGTGCGTTTAAATAATCACATTCTAAATCTGATATTGTTATGATCTAAAAATTATTTTAATTATTATTTGAGTACTATTTAACGAATACCTACATAATAAATCCACAGGAATAATAAAGCTCCGGTGTTTATTAGAGCCAAAGCGAATACAAAAGGATCTGATACCATTTTGATGTTTTCCAGATAATCTTAAGTGGGATTTAAGTTAATTATTCAAAAATTCCTGATTTGATTTCGCTTTAATTTCAATTTTAACCATTTTATAAAGAATTACTTTTAACTTTGAGGTTATGTTATAATAAATTGAATTAAATCCGCTAGATGGCGGCAAACATAAAATCATTAAAACTAAATTCTAAATTAAAATTAATTTCTAATTAATATTATACAAGAATATTTCCTTTGATTTGAAAAAATAAACATATCATTAATTAATTAGAATATCATTTTAAAAAAAGGACTTATTAAGAATTAAATTTTATTTCGTCGCTAGATGTCGCTTAGATCCAATTTAAATAATTGTTTAAGTAGTTTAGTAAATTTAAATCCTATAATAAAATTTTAATTCTTTCTAAATAAATTCGTCTTTATTATTAATAAATTAATATTAAATTAAAAAAAAATTAAATATAAACATAGTCAATGTCAAAATCAAACAGCTGTCAACTGTCAAAAACAGCTGATAACAAAGTAGAGATACCGATAAATCTCCCAAAAAGATGTTTTACACGCAATTATATACATTTAAACTCATTTATTACCTTTGAAAATTAATCATAACTAATTTTAACAATAAAAAATGTTTATAAAAGATCCCTGTGGGATTACATGTATTATAATAACTTATGCGGCAGTCTTTTACGCGGATTATGTAGTTATAAAATGGATTGTTCTTCACACGATGGAAGGAAGGTACTTATTCACCACTTAAACTGAATTTGTTTGTAAAAGTGTACATTTTTAGCTTATGGGGTACATTAAACGCCGTGGCATTTAACTTAATCATTTTTCTTTTGACAATGTCCCACTTTAAGGCTGTTATTTCTGATCCTGGAACGGTTCCTTTACCTCAAAACCGACTCGACTTTTCTGATATGCACTCTGCGGAATCCGGCCTTGATTTGGATTGGACTATTTGTACGAGATGTGAGACTTACAGACCACCAAGAGCTCATCATTGTAGAATTTGCAAAAGGTGCATAAGAAGAATGGATCATCATTGTCCTTGGATAAATAATTGTGTTGGAGAGAGAAATCAAAAATATTTTATACAATTTCTTGTTTATGTTGGTAAGATTATAATTAAAAATAAGTTAAAACAATAACAAAAGAAGCTTATATTGTTTATTTATTCGTTGAATTTTTTGTTGCAAACATTATTTTTTAGGCATTCTATCGGTTTATGCCATCTCATTAATAGTAATATCCTGGGTTAATGATTGCGATAATTGCGACGTCGATGTTTTAATGAAACAACGAAGAATGTAATTTTATTCAAATCGGTATTTAAAAGTTTTTTTTTTATGAAAAGGTTTGATTTTTTTAGAATGCACAGCATCATATTATTATTAGAGAGCGCTTTATTTGGACTTTTCGTGTTCGCAATACTCACAGATCAACTCCAGGCGATACTCAGCGATGAAACAGCCATCGAACAAGCGCAAAAACAAGGTCCTTACAGACCCCATAAACCAAAAATGGTCCTACTAAGCGAAGTTTGCGGTAGACAACATCCCGCGATGTGGATTTTACCTTGTTCAAAACTTCCTCGTAAATTAGATTTACCATTGATTGATCATGATGTTTAAAAGTTATTTTTAAGAGAAAAATGGGTCAATGTACTTATTTTTTACACAATACAACACTCTTCTCAGGCTATTATCACTTGTAATTAAATATTTTTACTTCCATTTACTTATTAGTTGATAGGTAATAATTTATTTGTTGTTTAAATTTTTTTTGTAGATGTGTATGTAATTATTTTTTGTTTTAAGCAGAAAATATTTGTTTTGGAAAAATTCAAAAATCATCATATGGCTTAAAAATTAACGATTTTTTTCTTAATCAATGTGAAATGACCCCAAAAAACACGTTAAAAATAAAAAGAAAATGCGGAAAAGTGTAGAACATCAAAAATTATATTAAAGTTTCGATGTGACGTCACGTTTTGTGACGTCACAAGCAATGTTAACGTTAAACCTGTCAATAACTAACCTACAAATTGTTTATTTTATAGCCACGCACAAAATCAACTGATAAACTTAAAAGTAAATCTATAATTTTTAGTTTATGGAGGCTTTGGTATATTTTATTATAAAAATTGTGACATCATTCCCTCCTTTATTTCTAAAACTCCAATTATAACGACGTTTCCGGAAATGTTCCCATCATCAGGTTAATAATACTCTTATCTAAAGAAACACGAATTACTAAATTAAAAATAACATAATTACTATTACAAACATGAAAAACAATCTCCATACACTTAACTCACAAAAGATTTTTTGTTTAGTTTATAGAATATGATTCTTACCTAAGACTATTATCAATTTTTAT